ATCTGTAAAGTCATCATATCAGTTTAGCGCTTTTTGATTTCATGACATTTCAGATTTGTTGCGGTGGTAGGAGAACTTTCACAGAAGTTATAAATATGACGAATGGAATTTACTGTGATAGATTCAAAACCATTGTTTTGACATATTCCGGTCTCTTTATTCTTGGTACTTTTTTTATTTTCAGGCTTGAAAAAATGACACAAGAAAAAAATATTTTACAAGAAGAAAATAAAAGCGAACGAGAGCTTGCTACATTAGCGAAGAGTCGTTACGACGAACTGAAGAAAAAATTTGCCCAGTAAATTTTGTTTACAAAATCGAATTAAGTTTAAAAAAAAAAAGTAAGAAGGAAAAATGATGCGATGTTCAGTGCTTTGTTAAATTTTATAAAGTTATATTTCTAGAGCATCAGATGCTTTGATTAATAAGGACAAAGAATGTGTTCAACTCGTCAATGAATTTAAAATTTTGGAACTAAATTTAGTGGCTAAAAAAGCCGAAAACAACGGTTCATATTTCTTTTTTTGAAAAATATAGGACATTGATCGCAGAGTTCGCAGAAATTCGTGCCACGAATAACTATCATATTCACAGTTTTAGCATTTAGATATTATTTGGTTCTTTCTTTTAGATGAGTAATCAGAATTCCCTGTACCAATAACGCTTAATGAAAATAGGTTTTGGAGAAATTCATTTCGTACTTTATTTATAAATACTAATTCCACTAAAAAACTTCATGTGTCAACGCGAATATAGCTTGTCTTTCATTATGGACAGTTTGCTTCAAAATTAAAACTTCACTGCACTTCGTTTTGCAGAGATGGCTGAGAGTTTGAAGCATGCACAGAAGAAACTGGAGGAGATGACGAATGCTAAGGACTCTGAAGTGAAATGTTTGAAAATTTTGGTAATTATCTTTACCTGCTTATCCTTTTTACTGTAAAACCATTTTGTAAACTTAAGGTTATATGTCTTACCTCAGGATAAAGAATTTTTCATTCTCATATGCAAATGTTTATTTTCCCAGTGAAAAGTTTAAAAATCTACGTGATGTATTATAGCTGGATGGGAAAGCTGAAGAGATTGAACGTCTCAACAAGGAGTTACAGAAAGTTTTGAAATTCAAAGACCAGATGATGCAGATGATGAACGAGATTTAATTCGATACATTTTAACACTGGGTGTCTCAAATCTTCCACTGCAGAGACAGAATCTTCACTTCTTTTTGTATTAATTTCTTTTTTGATTTTCAATGTAAATTGGAACTTTCATTATTTATGTTTGCTATGGCTCAGGAAATGTATATTTCATTGTACGTCGGTGGGACATTATTTTCTAGGAATTCACTCCAGTAGATATTTAGATACGTCGTTGAGAAGCGCACATATGCATAACATTGATGCATTGTGCGATCTGAAATATCACTCTGACGCCGATGCCACCTGAACTGGCGAAGCAGAAAGTTAAATAGATTCTAATGAGTCAATTTAACAGTTGTTAATTAACGAAGCCAAAAGCCAACGGAATCTCGAAATAAGTTTGGTTTTGTGGTGCTAGCTTAGCTTTAAATATCTATTTTGCTATTGTTTGTCATTGATTATTGTAAAGGCGCATTTCGAAATTTTTAATTTTACATTTAAATACTTTTGTAGTTTTAGTTGTAAATTGATTCTTATACAATGCAAAGTTCCATAAAAACGTACATATTCGGCTTGCAAGCTTCATTATGTCTGCTGTTTAGCTGTTTAGCGGGAATATCATGTACACTCTCTTTTTTTGGAAAAAAAAAAACCTTTTTGGAAAGTTTGCGATGTTTGAGGAAAGTTGTACAGAACAGACCTTCACTGTAAGGATGGTAGGTTTTTTATTTTCGATGAGATATGTTTGTAATTGTTTTCTAGCAAAATAATTGCAGGGGCTTTACATGGGATAAAGTAGAGCACATTAGATGATGCACCCGAAAAAGGAAGTGAAGTTAAAAGGGGTAGTTGCGGTTAAATTCATTTCAGGATCAGATAAGGACTAAGGAATTTTGAGAGTCATAAATGATTTTTTTCATCATTTGCTTCATGCTGCTCGCCGATTTCGAAATTTTATTCCTGCATAAATGGCTAGTTTGTCAAGCTCTTCTTCAATACAAAGTAATTAATTGTATTTCGCAAGAAATATAGGGTGCTCCAGTTTTTACCTGTAATTTTCAAATTTATTTCTTACAAATATATGAAAAAAACTTGAGGATATGTAGCATAAGCATCCTTGGAAGGGCTGGCTCTAAACTATGACGATGACATGCAGTTGCGCTTCAACTAGAACAAAAGTTTTTGAGTTTATATTTTTTCTTATTTTTCAGCTAAATGACTTAAGTGGAGATTAATAAAATATGAAAAAATTAAAAGAGAGGCACACAAACCTGTCCCGTAGCAAGACCAGCAAAAGAGATCACCGATGAAAGTTTCTTCAGTTACTCGATCGACATGAGACCATCATCACTCCCCGACCGTTCTTGCATACTAAATTTGCTGCTCCAATAGACTCGGTTATGGTAGCAATGCGGCTCCAAATTGGAATTTTATAAAAATATAAAAGTACATTGAGAATGACCGTGCTTCAAACTTTGTTATTAAAATAAAATAAATTGTTGAAAACTGCAGGCTCTCAACAATAAGCAGTTGCAGGTGTTCTTGCTCACAGTCACCTCAATTCGTTTGCGATTGGTCACAGTTAAGTCGTCTCCAAATGCTTTCGTCCAGCTATTTCAGTTATTCTGTTCGAACGATTGACACATTTGATAATCCTTAATTATTGAAACATCATAAATGAAATCTGAAAAGTTCAAATTCATTTTGATGATTTGTTTATATTCTGACGGTTTAATAAATAAGGAAAACACAACATGCAGAAACGGAAGAACTTGGATTTTGATAAATGACTTGTACAACTCTAGCATTTCATCGCCAACTTTCCATTTACTTTGCCCGATTTTTAAACTTTTTGGCTGATTCCTACAATTTCGTTACAATAAACTTGGATAGAAATATAGTTGCCCAGTTTCTATTTCCCTCCAATAGACTGTTTGTTGAAGCGTGCAATGACGAGCAATGAGTTTATCGCTACATCAGGTAAAATAGAATAGACAAAAGATGGAAATGATATGATCAATGAGCTGTACCGCATACCTTGTAATATTCCAAGTCCATCGCAATAACAATCCCTTATATCCCGCGGCAGCAATTGCCGATTGCAGCAGATCAATGCTTTTCTTGTTGTCCTCAATGTTTGGAGCAAAACCCATGCAGTAACACATAAGCCGTAACGTTGTTTGCCTATATCACTTATCATCATTATCAATAAAAAAGCTTATTTATAGCAGGTAGAAAAGAGTGATTGAAGAAAAGCCAATAACTGGAAAGACAGATAGGGAAGGGAGTAAAAAAGAGAGTCATATTTTCAGTTGTGATAAACTTCAGTATTTATGCGCTTTGCTTAAGTGAAGGAGGAATCTCCAACGGGCATAATCATGAATTCCTGATATTGAAGATGTATTATAACAAATTTAGAAAATTTAATGACTGCAGATTTAGCAGCCTCAATAAACAAGCTCAATCTGCATTGCAAGTTTATTACCAGCATGTTGATAACACTCATGGCAGGTACCGGCAGAACGACTCCCTCCACACATCCAGTTCAGCAGTGTATTTGTACACACATAAACACAAACAACACCAGCCTTGCGTACTGCTAACAAATGCCAAAATTGCATTAGCACCAAATTTTGCTAAATAATTTTCAATTCCTGCCTTATCACAGAGGAAATAATTTGCAACTGCAGTTTAATCCTTCCATGTTAATGAAGTGTTAAGAGCAGAAAGTTGGTTATTTTGTGCTCATAGTTTTGACAGTCAGTTCGTGTTTATAGGTTCCTATAAGAGGACGGTTTGTTTATTCACATCTTTTATAGACTATTAGAATACCGATCATTAATGAAAAGATAGAAGCACTCACATTTATATTCTCGGTTCCATCAAGCTGAAGAAGAAATCCATCGATTTCTTTTTGCCGGGTCGGATCCAACTATTCAAAACCATTCAAATTTTCAAAAAATTTGCGACATAGATCAAATAAGGAAAAAAGTTAAATTAAAAAAAATAAGTTAATTTAACTTACTTTAGAAATCTGCTGAAGCTATTTGTTCGTTGAGATTTCTAACTACCTTTGGAACTCCTTTTCCATGATGAACATCCTCATTTTGATCACAAAGTTCGAGTACCTCATGCACACCTATCGATGCATCAATTGGCATCGCTGCGCGAACATGTCTAGAGTTTGACAGGAATTATTCAAAATGTAGTGTAAATTGATTAAGTAAGATGCAGAAGGCTGACCTTTCTTAGTAGTAATATCAACTTCTACTGTTAGATTGCTTCGAGAATCATAAATGTGATGGGCACAATAGCAGTAATCAGCATTATTAGTCGTCACTGACAAAAAGTTCCTGTAAAGAAATCATAAAACCACCGTAAAACAATTTACAAACAATATTTTCAAACAGGAAGATATCGGACAGAGTTCTGATTTAGTATAAACAATTCAATGAGTCCAATTTGAATTTCTCTGAGACAGTGGTAAAGGTAATAAATTCAAAATAGACGATTTTCATCATCTATTTTGTGATCAGTGTGAACTCCGTAAACAGTTGTAACGTATAATGAGTGAAACGTCAAAGTATTCTAGTCAGTTAGTTAAGAATGTTCATCTAATCATTTTTCCTATTAAAAAAGCCTAACAGTGGAGGAGCAAGGAACTTAGCTGATATATGAATGAGATGTACACTTCCATCTGAAGTCAATATTTATGTAGATTTATTGTAATCTAGCAAATTTACATAATGATTAAATAAAAAAAAGATAATCATAAAAGCATTGAAAATGTAGGAAAAGTACTTGTTGCTACTTTTTCAAGAATCAAATTTGTAGGTTCGAAAGAAACGTAAGCCTTATTAGATGGACTTGATCGATCTGTCTGAGGGCAAAGTGATCAGTAAACGATGGGTTGTCGATGAGAAGCTAGGCGAAGGTTCGTGTGCTACCGTATACAAAGTGCATGATTTGAATGATACTCGAGTGAAAGCTGCCCTCAAAGTAAGCCAAACAAATCAATCATCTATCTATTCACGTAGAAAACACGGAAATAATAGTGCTGGGCAAATACCTCATCAGATTTAATATGACAAAAAGGTACTTTTGTCTACTGTAGCACAATTAATTTAATGGTCGTAAAATTATAGGTTGAAGCGCGTTCAGGTGACAATTGCGGCGTATTGAAGAAAGAAGTAGCTGTCATGCGAAAGTTGCAATGTCGAAGACATACTGTTCGAGTGGTACATGCTGCACGTCGTGAATATGTCCCTTTTTCTACTTTTTACTTGGATACTTCTTTCAATTGTTTGATTCTATTATTATAATCTATTACCGGATATTTTTCCCGCAAGAAATTCTGAATTGCTTATCGTATGAAAGGGCAATGTTAAAGCATGACTAATATATTTTCGGGATCAAAATCCGGCATTATACATCAGTGGGAGTTAATGAAATGCATAGCTTAACGATACTGATGGATATATGCAACCATCTATATCTGTCATGGTACCTCCAGAAGACGAACTGCATCGAATATTTGGATAACCAAATGACTGACTTTTCTCTTTGATAACTTAATATATAAAGTAGTAATTCACGTCGGCATTTAGTAATTCATTAGAATTAATAAAAATATATTACATGACAAACAGTTATTAAATATTTTGATGAAAATTATATTGCAGTATTCATATGTTGTGATGTCACTCTTGGGACCAAATTTAATGCAACTGAAAAAGATGTGCAAAGCAAACACATTTAGTGCTGCGACGACAAATCGAATCGGAGTTCATGCACTGTATGCTATAAAACAATTACATGAAATCGGTTATGTTCATCGAGATATCAAGCCAGGTTAGTCTATCAATATTACTTATAACAGGAATAGTATACAATACAGTGAAATTTGTGTATGGCAACATATAGACAATGACAAAAAGCATAATCAAATAAATCTCTTGAAATTTTTCAAATATTTCAGCTTAATATTTCATTTCATTTTACAGCAAATATGGTAATCGGACGGCGTGGACATGAGGCACGTATTATTTATCTGATTGATTACGGTATGGCACGAGAATATGCAATTTGGGAAGAAGGTTACGCACGAATTAGGCGGCAGCGTGAGCATGTTCTTATGAGAGGTACAACAAGGTACACTTGAATCAAATACTTCAGCAAATATGTAGCTGATTTTTTCAAAAGCCTTCATGATTTTATGACATTGGTGATTCCCTTTAACGTTGTTTTTTAAAGATTTGTTGTCCAGTACAGCGATCTTAATTAGGTATTGTTCTCCGACAGTTCATGCCCGAATGGAGCAGGGAAGAAAGGATGATTTGTGGTCGTTAATTTACGTCCTTGTCGAATTACATGCCGGATTGCCTTGGCGTGGTATCACTGTACGTATTTTACGAAGAGTTTTTGTGTCATTTAAATATCAATATCGCTGAGAAGTAGATGTCGAAATAAAATCTGGAATTTTTATTAAGATTTAGAATTCGTTGAATGTTTCCACATGAAATCTGTATGAAATTTGTTGTGTCTTACATTACCAGGAAAAAGAAGTGGGCATAATGAAAGACAAAATAACAGATGAAGTATTGATGGCAGACTGTCCACCGGAATGGATCCACATAATGAAGTACATACGGACACTGACTTATGAATCAAGACCTGACTATAAGAAAATTTATGATTTGATGATGAATTGCATGAAGCGACTCAGTGTTTCCTTTTCCGATCCATATGACTGGGAAATCAGTTTCTCTTCCAAGGTAGAAGTTCAAACTCGAAAATTGAATTTTATCTCAACTTTCCCAAATGACAGAAATATGTCTTTTTGAAAAAAAAATCGGTCTTTTTTTTTCAGTCGTCTCCAACCACAACTACGATTAGGACGGAAGCAACAACAACAACACTCATTACGAAAGAATCATCGGACACAAAATCCATCAATAACAGACAACTGTACAATTTCCCACCCACCACGGATCCCAAAGAGTTCGAGTGTAATGATATTGGGATATAACCAGAAAACACAACCCCAAAAATTGTTGAAGTTCTTCATGTTTTAATTAAAATTACGGATAAATTATGTGAATTGATTTGTGAGCTGCTTCGACAAAAGGATTGCCACGAAAAAATTTCGGATGATTGAAGGACTATATCGTCTAGAATCCGGTGAGAAAAACTAAGGCAAGCGTGAGAGAGTGCAATTATTTTAAATATGTGAAGATTATAGAAGAGAAAAAATTTGAAATTAGAAAAACCAAGTGTTTAAAGAAGCCTATCGTAATTATTCACCGGTTCATTTCTATCCTTTACATGGATAATTCGTCGCTACTGTGCTTGTTGCCCCTTAGTAGAATGATGACTTCATTCTATTTCCATTATTATGCTAATTAAATATTCATCCAATATAAATTCCTTTTTTTTTTTCAATTGTTACAGCCGCTTATTTTCTCTCAGCAAAATAAGCAACAATAGATTTGAATCAACAGATCCTTTCCAAGAGAGATCAGGTTTGACCTAAATGAAGCAGTAAACTTCATGTGGTGAATCACTCTTCTCAAAACATTAACGAAAAACTTAAATGTAACAACGCGACATCAAGATCATTAATAATAATAATACAACATGATATCTTCGTTTCATTTGGTTTGGTTCTCGTCAAAGTCGCATAGAAATATTTATTTGTCTAGTACCACCTGCAGGCTGTGTTGTCGCTTCTTTTGAATTCTGGGTGGTGTTGATGGGATGGGCGTCGCTATCTTTGCAAGTGCACGTTGTACATGGTGAGAAGTGTCTTAATTTGTAGTTACACGAAGATACTTCCCCAAGCATGCTTGCTTCAAGGATAGTAGAAAACATTTCATTTCAAACATAACTAAATTTCCTTCAAGAAATGCACTTGTTGTGTGTCCTGTTATTCGCTTGGTTTACTTACGATATTCATAGATTAATGGTATGGTGACGAAAGGAAGCTAATCGTTTTTTCTTTTTTCTAGTGTTTCATCGCCCTCAATTTACTCTTCTTGAATTCAAAATTATCTTTACAACACTAGCAGTATTGAAGGATTTATTCTTCTTCGATTAGGATTGTACATGGTGTGATTTGTGGTGTATGACAGAGCTATGTAGTGTTTCTTGTTGGTCATAAATTTGGGGGACCTGTGGCTAAAACGTTGGTGGAAAAGAGTGAGTGCTCACAGTTTGTTATTAATTCCGCATTTTATGTCTTCATTTATTCACTTTATAGGTGACTCATGGATGAAGATATGGAAATATTCAATGTTTTTGCGGAAGGTAGTAGTTCATCCAGTAGTACGAGTAAGAAGGAAGTGTCGAATAGGTCCATTCAGAAGACAGAGGTAATTCGTTCAAAAAGTTTTCTTCGCAAAGTTAATTTGATCTTGATTTATCTATGATGTCAATACTGTCAGATTGAGTTATCCAGATATTTACTACAATATTTTGCTAATTTTATTATTTTCTCCATTCTTTACGATGTTTTTTAAAAACCTTCTTTAGAATTTGACTTTTAAGTCTTTTATTAAATGTTTTATTTTTGTAACTGATATATGGCTGTTGGTTACATGTTTGGTTTTTTGATTTTTGAAAAATATCATGTTCAGACGAATAAGAAAAAGCAAAAGGAAGCTCGTGAACGAGCCAACCAATTGCTGGGACAGTTAGCGGCAGGCAATGCTGCAAATAAAGATATTAAAGTGGTAACAAGTGATGACGATGGTTATGGCGATGATAATGCAGATGACAACGACACAGGTATCTTTATTAATTTACTGGATTGTATTTATTGATTCAGTGAATTTAATGACTTTTACCTCATGTCTAAAGTGCTTCTTTTACACCAGTAACAAGGGTTTTTTTTTTTCTAGGATTATTACCGAAAAGATCGAAAAATGAGACTACTACGGAGGAGCTTCCTGGTTTAGCTTCCCATCCACGAAACAATATCAAAACTGTCGAAAGTGAAGGAAATTGTTCACACGAAGTAGTTTCATGACCTTTCAAATTATTAAACAAAATTTTTTGGTTTTCCTGCCTTTGCACGACCATTTTTCCAGATCGTCTTGCCACCAAATATGGAATATGTACCATTGAAGCCACGTACAACAGCTCCGGCCAAGATGTATGAATTCCAGTTAGATGCCTTTCAAAGAGAAGCAATCACCTGTATTGATAATAGTCATTCCGTTCTTGTATCAGCCCATACTTCTGCTGGAAAAACTGTTGTTGCATTGTAAGTCTTTTGGAATCGTATTCATGCTGGTCAGTTCTCGTAAATTTCATACAATGAAATTTATAGCAACATACTTTACCTTCAAAGTTTTTTGCACTTGCAAGACTATGTAGTTCCTTTTACTGCATGCTAAGGTTGTTGAGAGAAATTGTTAAGATACATTGCATTAAGTTATCAATTAAGCAACATATAAAGTGCAACTAAATTCTATAATTTAGATATGCAATAGCGATGTCTTTACGTGATAAGCAGCGCGTTATATATACTTCGCCTATCAAAGCCTTATCTAATCAAAAATATCGAGAATTGGAAGAGGAATTTGGTGTAAGTTTTTTTTGTAACTTCATAATAATGTGAAAAATTTCCTGTAGATTGATCTTTGTCAAATGATTTTAGGATGTAGGTTTGATGACTGGTGACAATACGTTGAATCCGGATGCTTCTTGCATTGTCATGACGACAGAAATTCTGCGATCAATGTTATATCGTGGTTCGGAGATTATGAGGGAAGTTGGCTGGGTAATTTTCGATGAAATTCACTATATGCGCGATAAAGGTTTGTGATTTTCAGAAAACGTTCATAAATTTCTGGTTCGTACGGACGACTATCTTTAGTATGCTCCAAAAGAGATCTTATATGGATGTATTCGCAGTTGTGATGTATGAACCACAGCATTAAAAAACTGCTTTTTAATGAGGTGTTTGCGATATTTATTTTTTAGAACGTGGCGTTGTGTGGGAAGAAACAATTATTTTACTACCTGACACTGTACACTATGTTTTTCTTTCTGCTACAATTCCAAATGCAAGGCAGTTTGCAGGTCAATCTTACTTGTACAAATAAAATACTGAAAAAAAAAAAAAGCTTTTACAAATAAAATACTAAAAAAAGATGAACTGTTATTGCTTTAATGATATTTGTGGACTTTTCTTCTATTGTTTTATTGAAATTTCATAAAAATGATTTTGCAGATTGGGTAGTTTATCTTCACGATCAACCGGTTCATGTTATATATACCGATTATCGTCCAGTGCCTTTGCAGCATTTCATATACCCAGCTGGTGGTTCAGGCCTATATGAAGTTGTAAATATGCAGGTAAGTTTTGTTTTCCGGTTAGCCTTGTTGCCTTTTTTGAAGCGATCTCTACGATTATTCGTTTGTGTTCTAAGATTTATTACAGTCCTGTTTTTGTGTCGACATAATGATTTGATTCTCTAAAAAAGATATCTTAGGGAATTTTTCGAGAGGATAAATTTACTGAAGCAATGAATGTGCTGTCGCAAGTGGGAGATGCAGGACAGGGTGGAATCAACAGAGGGAAGAAAGGTGGAACATCAGGTAATCTTATGATTGATTTTTATATTGTTTATTCTAAAAGTTTTGTCTATTGATACTTTGTTGTTATTTATTTATTTTTTTTTTTTTTTTTTTGATTGGTTTTATTGTGATCTTTTTTTCATTTGTTTCGATACCGTCTTCAAATTAAAAAATCTTTGTGTTTTGAAGGAACAGTTGGTCTTACTGTTTACTGTTATATTTTAAGTAATCTACCTAAATTTCTTTTATCTGCTACAGCGACTATTTTTGATAAATTTGCAAGAATGCAAAGAGCTTTGAGTATTATCTGTGAAAAAGTATTACCTGACAGACCAATTTTACATTACCAAATGAATTTTAAAAAGTAGGATTTTTGAATTCTTAATTTTAGGTTATTAAAAAGTTATTTGTTTTGAAAATATATTTATATTTTCATCTCTCCAGGTACACCTCATGTGGTGAATATAATCCGTACGCTTAAGGAACGGGACATGATTCCAGTCATCATTTTCTCATTCAGTCGAAAAGAGTGTGAAGCATATGCAACACAAATGACGAATTTGGACTTCAATACAGGTATTTATATATATATATATATATATATATATATTTTCGAAGAGGTTTGAACTTCAGTAGCATTTGCATAATTTTTTAGAAGACGAAAAAGCAAAGGTAAAAGAAATATTTGTTAATGCAATCAGTTTGTTATCCGATGAAGACAGCAAATTGCCTGAAATTGGACGAGTGCTACCATTGTTGTTGCGTGGTATTGGTGTGCATCATTCAGGTTTATTGCCAATTGTTAAGGAAGTGATCGAAATTTTATTCGGAGAGGGTTTAATCAAAGTAAGTCTAAAAATGTGAAATTTATCTCTTTTCAGTTTATTGAAATTTGTAGCACAAACAAGACAGAAACTATTTTATTACGAATGAAAGTTATTGCAATATTGGCAGGAGATAAAAGAAAAATTATTAATGAATGGTAAAGTTTTTCTAGGGGCGCATTATTTGAAGTTTTCGAAATTAAGTTAGTAATAGCATACGATGAAATAAAGGCATACGATTGCAAAAATGCATAGGCACTTTATCAAATGAAAATATCGTAAAATCGTATGCCATATGAGTGAAAGCATTTTGTAGACTTTGTTTGCCACCGAAACTTTTGCTATGGGTCTAAATATGCCTGCTCGGACAGTGCTGTTCACATCGGCAAGAAAATTCGATGGAAAAGATTATCGGTTTGTCCTAAGGAGTATTTTTATTTGGTTACAAATTTGTTATGTTTTCTACTTTGCAACCATCAAAAGAGTTAACAATGTGCTACCTATCACAGTTTAAGTACATGTTAGTTGTGGATCTTGAGGAACTTTTTTGTGCAAATATACTCTCGCAATTCATCTAGGTATAGTGAGGATTAGAGTTTTTAATATTTTTTCTCCCATCCAT